CAGCACAGGCGTTGCTGGGCACGGGGAGGAGCAGTCCCTTCCCCACTGCTCAGCTGCTCGGGGTGGCAGGGCCCCCATGGGTGAGAGGGTTGGTAACCACTGATGCCCAAGCACAGGGATAGAACCACCCCTGCACCTGCCACTGGGACAGGGCACACTCAGCCCCTGCACCAGGAGATTTCATGTGGGTCCTTAATGAGGTGTCACCAAGGGTGAGCATCAGTGCTGTGCTGTGGGTTCTGTGGTGGGTAGGAGGGGGGTCCAACCTTCGGGGAGGGGCCTGGGTTGCCAGGTTGGGGGCATCATTTCAGCGTGCAGGGGGTATGGGAAGGGAGGTACAATGGGATGTCACAGCCCACATGGAAAGTCCCTCCACTGTCACCCACCTCACCAGCGCCGTGTGGCATAGCACTTGTTTCACACTCACCAGCTACAGGAAAATAGAGCCCTTCTTTATTGAAAAATAAACCTTCTCTGTACAAATAAATAATGGCTCAGATGCCTCTAGAAAAATGGGGTGGAGATGGACTTGCCAAGGTGGGGATCCCAGGGGAAAGGAGGACAGTGATTCCTGGCTGAGATGCTCCAGGTACCCCCTGGGGTCCCATTGCCCTGGGGAAGTCGGGAAGTTCTGGTGGGAAGAAGGAAACTGAGGCATGATAGCGGATAAAAAGGAGGAGCCTGAAACAAGGAGGGGACTGTACTTGAAGGACATAAGAGACACCTGCCCCAGTGCCCTCTCCCCATGCTGGCATGTTGTCCCAGGGGACATTAGTTTTTCAGCGCCTCGAGTGCCAGAGCGACAAGGCCAGGCATGCTGCGAGCCAGTGAGGCGCTCTCCAGCCCCACAAGGCCAGTGAAGGCCGTGGGACGGCCCCCTACAGTGGCCCGCACCTGTGCCCGGTACAGTCCCTTGGTGTTTTTGGAGCCCAAGTCCACCAGGATCTGCGAGGAGACAACAGCACTGTGAGTCCCAGGGGAGTGGGGAGCAGAGCAGGACAGTGATGGGCTGGGGGGTGGCACTGTCTGGCTGCCAGGGCATGGGGCTTGGAGTGGCTGGATGGGGCACTCACCTCCTGGAAGGTCATGGCTAGGTCGGTCTCCGGCACCTGCAGCACCCAGGCATACAGCTCCCGCACTGCACCCACCCGCACCACGGACTCGTTGAGGCCAGGGCAGGCTGCAACCCCAGGGACAGGCAGGAGAGAGAGGGAGGGGCACATCAGGGTTGAATTGCAGGGGCACCGTGCTGCTGCCCACCCCAGGGAGGAGCACCCTGAGGACACCAGGGGACCATGGGCAGAGGGTCCCTGTGGTGGGGGGTATAACTGAGGGTTGTTCCGCTGAAATGAGACTACCAGCCCTGGGACTGGACTGCAAGGCTGAGGCTGGGCTTGCCACTGTCCCCATGGTGGCACATGGCATCCTGCAGGGTCTGTAGGAGCTTACCTCTGCCCATGCCTGCCTCCTCCTCCTCTTCCTCAACCCTGGGCAGCTCCGTGGGCACCAGTTCACGTTTCTTCCTCAGTGAGGACCCTGCGACCAAGAGAGGTGTAAAACTCCCAGCGGGAACACGGCCAGTAGGCATTGCCTAAGCGCAGAGCGTGACCTCCCCACTGCCCCCAGCCCCTCCAGGCTCACGGGGCTCACGGCTTGGTGTGGGGGTCCCTGCCAGCTCTTCAAGTGCCCATTTTGGTTCCATGGCTTCCAGGGCAGTGCCAAGGTCCAACTCTGCCCGCAGCTCGGTGAGGAAGGCTTGTCCCTGTCCCACCATTTCCTCTATTGCATCCTCACCCTGCTGAAGGGAAGGGGGGAACAGGGTGAGAATGGGGCATCCACAGGGCACCTGTGGGCACAGACAGGTGCACAGTCGCAGAGGGCAGGGCATGCTGGACTCGTGTCAGACAGGGCATTGGGAACAGGCAAGTGCTTTGTGGCTGTGTTGGGTCACATCCTAAGCTGCAGGGTCAGACCCATCGCTGGCTCTGCACTGGCTGGACTGGGAGCACTGGTTTAAGCTGGGGAGGGTGAGATGCCCCCTCTGTGGTGGCAAAGTGAAAGATGCCACTTCTGCGGCTGCACAAGCAACAATGGACCCAAGGGACATCAGGAGGGAACACAGGGTAACTGTGGGGTTTGGTGTCTGGTGGCAGAGTCACCAGAGGAGCAGGGCCTCCCCTAGCCTGTCCCTCCCCACATACCTGCAGGAAGAGCTGCATCTCCCCAAGGAGCTGCTCCCTGCCCAGTGTGGGCACAAGGGGCCTGTCCTCTGCCATGGCCTTCAGTGCTTCCACCCAGTCCTGCAGCTGGGGTCCCACCGCCCCAAAGAGCTCTGAAAAAGGGGGAAATTGCCTGGTCCCCCACCTGCAAGGACAGCAGGCCAAGCTCAGACTGGTGTCCAGTGGCACCCATCCCTGGGCAGTGCCACCCTGTGCACTCTCCCTAGGCACCATGGGATGGGTGCCCTGGTTGCGGGAGGAACAGGACCCCTGTGCTTCAGGCTGTCCCCAAAAAAAATATGTCAGTGTCCACCGGCATCTTGACCACCTCCGAAAGCCCTTCTGCCCCTCGTTCCATGGCCTACCGTGCCTCACCTGGTGGGCGGTCTCTGGGGTCCCTCTGCTGTGGGGCTGGGGTGGCCCCTTGCCTCAGCCAGGCCTGCAGGGACAAGAAGAGACAAAGGGGTAGGGGATCCCCACGGGGGTGCCAGGGCAGGCTGCTGGTGCTTCCAGCCACCAGCATAGGGGAGTCTGATGGGTCCCCAAGTGGGCATGGGCTGGTCCAGCC